TACACCAGCTGTTCCTCTGTAAATTTAAAACATAACAGCAACATGACTATGGCTTCTTTTTAGGAAGAATTTATTTGGAGTTCATGAAATTGACATATTCAAAACCAAGCTGACAAGCAGTCTAGTATATTAAATGATAAATTACTAAGAAGCACAATTTCTACTTCACTATAACTGGAACAGCCACATAATTCTAACCCCTAGTGCTTTGGTGAATCAGACCCAACAAGCCAAAATCTATTAAGCAAAGCTATGGACTATATAATTATAGTGCTATCACCAGAACAATTTTAAAATGGTTTCTGTTAAATTTTTAAGTGGTTTCAATTTCATTTTAAATGATTAATTTTAAATTATTTTTTTAACATCTAAATATTTATATACAAATGAGTACAGTACTATACATGGAATTGGGTGATTATACAAAACCTAAGTAATGCGTTTAAAATATGAAGTCATATCATTTCCTCCAAGCACCAGTTTCCTATGATGATTTTGAAATATAAACATTTAGCAACGTGTAATATATTTTTAATATTGGTTTCATCAATGTCTTTTGACCTAAGCTAAATGGTAATGATGAAAAATAGACCATTTGCTTAAAAGCAAATCTCTTATTAAATCTAAAATATTATGGCATAAAATCAAACCACAAAAAAAATCCTACCCCATATTATGTTATTCCCCCTTGATTTTCTGAAGAAAAATAATGAAGGTTTTCACATAGTGTAAACGAAAATGAGACACTCAAATTTACAGAGGCAAAGACAGATTCTATAAAATTAAAGCCCTTTCTAGTACCTTGACCGTAATCCTAACAAGTCACAACATACTTCAATTAGCAGAATAATTTTTCTAGGGTGAAAATAAGTGCAATTTATTTTGTCATTGTCACTAAAATTTCCTGTCAAATTAGACTTTGATTTGAAAGGCCTGGGTAATTCTGGCCTATCTTAAACTGTTACTTTATTTTAAACTTCCGTATTTTCTATCCACTAGAATTTTAAGTTTACACGATGTACATTCCTCAGGTCCAGTCATATTAAATTCTGATGTTAAGCAGAAAGGGGAAACCATGTGCAACTAGATTAATTTATCTCAAGGGAAAAAGGGCACATTAATAATTGAGATAATGTTTTCATAAATGCTGAAATCAAACGTGTCTTTTCACTTCTTTATTAGGAAACATATTAGAGCAAAATTATCTCACTCTCATCAATAAGACCTAATTGCTGAGAAAGAGTATGTTTTCTTTGCGAAACATTCAGAAAGATTTTTCTCATTATGGTCAAATAGCTAGAAATATACCATGCATCCAAGTCTTGCTGGAATAAATGTATATAAGCAAAACGAGTGATTGTTTAATCCGTCCTGTAATGTTGTTGTTTTAGACTCTGTGAATTTATTATTTTTTGTAAAACAAAGTGAAATCTGATTCTAAAAGAAACTGACCCCCCCCCAAAAAAAAGACTAGTAATCGAGCTTTCAGTTTGTTCATCTCCTTAAAAGACAAAAAAAAAAAAAAAAAAAAAAAAAAAAAAAAAAAAATCACCTGGGCTTCTTGCTTTAAAAGAGAAAAAAAGAAAAAACTCTTCGAATTGCCCATAGATACCCCAAAGAGTCAAAATATACTGCAGATAATGGAATGATATTGAACTTTCTTTAAGTTGCTATATTTTTTAAGAACCAGGATGATTAGCACAAAGAAAATATTAACTAAAAGCACACTGACAAAACAATCAAATAAGCTCTCAATGGCGGAGGTACGTTAAATATTAAAAAGTCATTTTGTACAAAGAGAGCTTTTAATGATTAAACAAAGGGAGTAACTAAGGTGAATCTGATTGTTTCTGTAATAAGCCTTCATGTGTATAATAAAGTACAGCCATACTAAAAACAATGAACTGTAAACTGAAACAAAAATCCATCATCTACTTGGAAACAGTGACGGGAAAAGATTAGCAATCCATTTATTGTACTGAAATAAAGATAAGTAACCCTGGTAAGATCCATCAGGACCTGAGTATTGAACTCTAAATATAAAGACATTTCTTCATCAGCAAGTGACTTAAAAAAATGTGAGGAAGAGAGACGATTCCAGTTGACTTTTAAAATGAAATGGTAATGATTCGACTGCTTTTAAGTTTTTAAAGATCTGCTCTATGTCGACCTGCTATTCTGGAAGATATCTAATAGAATGTGTTTTTTTAAATGGATAATTATTATGTGAGTCATTAAACAATTATTGCCAAAAGTTTCCTATAGATCTATCTTGTATTCTGACTATGGATTCTTTCCTAATATGAATAATATAATGACTACACTTTTTTTCACAATAAAATTGAGGTTTGAAAGCAAAGACTAACGTTTAAGGAACAATCCAAGATTTAGACTCTCCTGTTATAAATTTAAATTCAAATCATCACATTTCATAAAAAAATAAATCATAATGCTTAAAAATTAAAAACTCAAGACTTCATAGCTTAAAAATAATCATACTAATAAAAACCTGAAACCCTATGAGAGTAAGTTTCATCTTAACAAATGGACATTGGCACTAAGGTACCTGGCTGTACTCTGCCACAGTTTATAGGATCTCCCAGTAGACTGATACATTTTGCACCACTGCAGTTTTAATATCCCTTCAATCCCCGAAATGTTTGCTTATTCTAACTTTTCTTACAGATGATAAAAATAAATAGGTCATGTTCTGAATTCAGAAGGAGGGATCTGGAGATCCTTCAAGCATGCATACACCCAGCAAGTCTTTTTTCTAACACAGAACCAACTCAGTACCTGAAACAATAGGTAAGACGCATTTCCTCTCCACTGAGGTATCAACAACTCTCAATCCCCACTCTCCTTATTTCAACAGTGCTAACTTAATCAAGCTTAAGGAAAGGTACAAAAGGAAGGTTCCACAGCTTTCAGTATTAATATGTATCATTATATTCTATATGCGTAGTGATCTCCAGCCAACATCACAAGCATCCGCATCCTTTATAACGAAACTATGAACTATGGGATTTTTTTTTCATGTTTATGGCTTCGTCCCCTGGCACCGTAAAAACAGATGAGCTCAAAACCTGGGGCATGAGAGGGCAATATAACAGTGTTTGGTTTTAACATTTGCCGATAGAGTGAATCTGTACCATTGAACAATCGTTTAACAATCTCCTCAGAAAAGTATTGGCAGACATTTAACTGTATGGTATTAGAGCTCCTAATAACACTACTGGAACATGAAAAGTGCCTGGAAGTGTTTTATAAACTTTAAACCGCACTGGAGGTTACAACTAATTAGTCAGAAACAAAAACCAACTGGGAAATATTTCAAAACCAGATGCTTTGATTATTTCCCACTTGTCAGTTTTTCCGATCCAAAAAGCTCTCACTTCTAACCTGGCTCTATGTACCGAGCCATTCTCTTCTGCCCTGTTTCCCTATAAAAATTTCTGTTTAAAAAAAGGAGGGGGGGGCACTATTTGGTGACATAAACATGCCCAAAGTTTTCTTCCTCGTTCAAGAATCCTATCCTGAGAGATTAAAAATTTGTAATTGTTTTTTTCCAATTTAGAAGTGAAACAGAACCTGGGAGCCTAGGCACAGGGCCTCAGAAGATAACCATAGGCTATGCAGCCCATGGCCGCCATGAGGCCATCTTGGGCTCCTGGGCTGTAAGCTCACCATGTAGCTCCTACACCATCAAAGGAGGTTTTACAGGCACAGGCCCCAGCCCCAGCATCCCATGCCAACAGTCATGTAATGGCTGTGGAGACCAGGTTTGTTTTTCACAACACTGTGTCTCCAGAGCCTAAGATAGTGCCGTCCAGAGCGCTCAGCAAAAATGTGAGTGGATTACCAAGTCCCATGAGTTTTAGTTAGTGACTACGAGGCTGCTCACAGCCAGCATGCCCATCTTGACAGGCCACTGAACCTTGTATGAGACAAGCTGCTGTAGAAATGACCCATTAATGGAGACCTAAGGTCCTTGCCAAGTTGGCCTCTAGCACTTAAGTGACTTTCTTTTCTGGCTACTCCCACTCCATTGTACTGCCTGGCCTCAGGCAGATTTACATATGGCCCTAAGAGTAAGACTTCCACCATCTTCTATTTCATAAATCACCCCCTGGGTGAGAGGGGTGGCTAAACCTGGTGGGGGGATTACCTATGGCTAAGAATCTGCCTCTTCAGAACTGGATCTCAATAACAACAAAGCTCTGGAAGAAATCTCAGATGAACATTTTTCAAATACATTCCTTGTTTTTAAATCATAGCATGACATGAGATTGTGCCACTGAAGTATTATCATGAATTGGGTGATATCAAAGTGCTCCAAGTTTTCCTATGTTTGGATTTTTTGTCTTGCTGAAGGCTGCCTAATTGTACTTTGTCAGAAAAGAAGAAGAATTTGTGATTTCAGATTCACGATGTAATTTGCTTACTCGGGATGCTTTGAAAGTTATGAAACATGCCCCAGTCTCTTAAGCTCAGAGTTTACAAAATTGTTTTTATCTGAGAAAAGGAGCCTGACTCTCTTCCTCCTGTTTATGCTATGTCCCTTCTTGCCCAGTGCCCAAAAAACATACTGTGGAAGAGCTCAGAATGGGACAAAGAATTCACCTAGCTGACACCCCAATGCCAGGCCTCCTCTGCTCTATCAACCTCAGCTGGCTTTTCTTTTTCCCAAGATCCAGGGAGACCAAAACATCAAATCCATCCCAGCTGGAACAGAGGCTTGTTAAGGGGATCCCACCTTCAGGAACCTGTAGGCCCTGTCTTCCTGGCTGGGTTGCTGAGGCGCCAGGCCAAGCTCTGCACCTAAGAGCTGTACGTTGGCAGACACCCGGCCTGTGCATGACCTGAGAAATCTATCCTCCCCTACCCACTGAAGAACAGGGGAGGCTCTCCCGTAAGCTGCCCCACCCCCACCACCAAGGGCCAGGCTGTTTGCCGGCCAAAGCTCTGGATGGCGAGGTGCTGAGCCATGAGTGACTTACCTCCCAGAGATGCTGCGTGTTCCTCACGGCGCCGGCCTGCACCTTCTCCGGGGGCAGGAGGACGCCCTGGAAGGGCCCGATCCAGGTGCCCTGCTGGATCCTCTGTGCCGCACAGATGCCGTAGGCCAGGCCGGGCACGGTGCTGGTGCACAAGCACACCTCCCGCGGCAGGTCCCGGAGCCACTCGGGCAGCTCGGGCGGGGGCGCGGCGGCCGCGGCGCTGCTGGTGCCCACAAGCCGGCGCAGCGAGTGCAGCGGCCCGTGCATGGGGCACTCGCCGTTGCGGTTGTCCGCGCACATGTCGCAACCTGCCGGAGAGCGAGCGGGAGGGAGGGAAGGAAGACGGTTAACCCGCCGCTCAAGGCGGCCCATCCTCGGGCCAATCCTGAGACGACCACATCCCCTCCCCGGGGAATGCCACCTGCGAGGGAGGGGACACCTTCAGGGCACCCGGGCCACTAGGAATGGGGGAGAGGTTCATCTGCACCCCTGCCTTGGAAATCGTGGCACCCAAATCGGCCTGGTAGGGGTCGAGCCCCCGGAGCCCCAAAAGCCTTGGTTGCTGGGTGTGGGTGGCATGGCTGTCTCTGTGGAACCCCCAGCTCCCTTCTGCTTCTGGGGGTGGGGGAGGGGGGGTGTCTCTCTCTCCCTCTTCCTTTCTCTCTCTAGTTCCCTCTGACTCTCTCTCCTGTCCTCTCACTCCAGGGTGTTTCCATGTGTGTTTATCACTGTCCCATGAAAAGAGCCTATCTCTTCCTCAACCTTATGTCCCAGAGAGATTCTACTTTGGTCGCCTGGGTATATTTGGTTTTCCTCTTCCGACAATGAGAGAAGATGCTTCCAAAATCACCGGGGCAGGCGGGCGACCCATCCAGCACGAAGCACCCTCCCGACTCCTGGGGAAGCACCCGCTCCCTCGGCCCACAGCCGGCACCAAAGTGGGGAGCCATCCTTGGCCCCTGGTGGTGCAGAACCCCAGACACGGGCCACTCCAGCCAGAGAGGAAAGGGTGGAGAAAGGGGGACCATTCTAGCGGGTTTGGGGTGCCTGTGGTGGAGTGCAAGCTCTTACCAGAAGCCAAAAAGGACTACATAGTGAATTTAAGGATCTGGGTAATGGCTGAGTGGAGAGGGTGGCTGCTGCCCAGATGATGGGTCCCCAGGCTGCAAGCGATCCTCCTCGTGAATTACACGCGAGGGAAGAACTGCCGTGAACCCGGCTCTCTCCGAGGTTCCCCCGGGGCAGCCAGCAGCCCAGAGGAGGGGATCCTCACCCTCCCTCTGGGTCGGGTGGCTGTGGACGCCCAGTGTCCCTCGACTCAAACTGGATGGGAAAAAGCCAGGCGGCCGCAGGAAGCAGAGCCTGCGGCGACCGCGCTGTCGAATCGCAGCGCCCTCCGGGTTATTAATGGGCCTGGCGGAGCCGCGGTGTCTGCGCCCCGGCCCTGCAGACCTGCCTCAGAGAGGCAGCCTCGGCGCCCGCCAGCACAACCCGGCCTCCCCGGCCCAGCCTCCCTGGGGAGCCACGGCGCCCCCACGCACTGAGCCCCCGGGCACCGATCAGGAGGTGGGATGGGTACCAACTGGTGGGTGGCGGGAGCTGGGGCATCGGTGGATGCGCCAGCGCTGGGCGACGGGTGGCCCTTGAGGCCTCCTAGCACCTGCACCCAGCTTCAGGTCCGCCAGGTCTGGGGTTCGGGGCACAGGGCACTGTCACTCTCAGTGTGCTTCCATCCATCCTAAAACAGAGGCAAGCCTACCTAACTTTTCACAAAGTGAGTCAGGGAGGAATCTACAAGGAAGGAATCCCCAAGGGCAACCCAGCCACCCAGAGCAAACCCTGGTTTTGCCTTTTCTTTCAAAGCAAGCCCAGGGTTGACCATGTGAACATCCTATCTCAGTGGAGAAGGCTCCAGCAGGCTGTGCCTTCCCCTCAGTCCCCTACTCCCACACTCTTCCCAAGAGGGCCCAGGAAATGACAGGACCTTCTGACTGCAGCTTCTTGGAGATATCCCCAGGCCTCTCAAGTGACAAGAGACAACCTGTTTCTACAGGTGGGGAGGTGCCCATGCTCTGGACCTCCATCCCACAAAAGCCCCCTCTCCCAGTGATACCAACTAATGTAAATACTGTGTCAGGCTCTACTTTTGCCTTTAGGGCCTACCCTTACCACATGTCAGCCCTTCCAGATACACTTCACACATCCTCTCTTGCTTCTGACTGTGAAAATAACTACTTCAAGACCAAGGGGGGAATGGAAAAAAAGACAATAAATATTCAAAGTCACCCAGTGTCTATAGTGTTCCAGACACCTATCTCAGAATAATCACCATATCATGACCCCCATTTTGTAGATGAGGTAATTTGAGGCTTCACGAGCAATGTAGCTAGACCAAGGATCAGAAACCAGAAAGTGGTAGAGAAAGATTCATGGTCAAGTTTGCCTGACTTCAAAGCCTCCAAATCTAAAGATCTAGGGAGACTAATGAAAGCTGGGAAAATTTTACATCCAAACTCATAATCAGTACAATTGAAGTATTTCACTGAAAGCACTATTTGGCAGGCCACAAAAATTGCTCTAGCATCGGTGAATAACAGAAATTTCCAAATCTCTCTCCCACGCTCGTGGGTTTGGGGAGGTTAAATGTACTGCAAAGTGAACAGATTATGTCCATAACTTTGGATTTTAGTCTCAGAGATGACCTTTCAGCACGTTAGCAAAAATAGCTTAAAACAAATGACAATAAGCAAAAACAATATGCCCCGTAAAAATAAAACTCAAATCACCCTAAGGAGCTGCTTAACCTACTTTCCCTTTCTGGTTGGCTCCATGAGGCATATGGTGAGAAGCAAAAGCAGTTGGTATTCACTCCTTACCAGTCCACACCAGAGATTACATCAACTTCCAACATCTCCACAACACGCACTATCACCCCCACTACATCAGTAATAAAATAAAGAGGAACCCCAGCCACCAATCCACAGACAGCAAACTCACTCCCTGTATTTGTTATGCATGATAAAACTACAGCTAGCCCTTTCTCTAAGAAGTCCTCTAAAACTCTCTTCTACCAACTAAATTTCAGTTGCCTCCAGCAGGTGTTGAAAAACTTAATAGTGGCATTTTGCCAAAGAAAAAGCTGAGTTTCTCCCAATATACAGAAGTCTACCTGTGTGTAAAGTCCAGAGAGTAAGGGAGGCTAATCCACTTTAATTACATGAGTCTTAATTGATAAACCACTTTGTGCTATATCAAAATATTCTGCTGGAGAAGTTGACCAATTACATCCAAATACATGTTATATCCTGATTTTTTTTTTAATACACAAAACCCCTGCCATTGAAAATAACTGGCCTCTGACTCTGTGTCTCAGAGTCCCAAAGGAGCTTGAGGATGCTTAAAACAAGCAAGTTCTTACTCTGGGGTTGACAAATGTGGCACAAATAGACAAACATGCTAGCAGAGTGTTTTCCAGAAAGGAGCCATAAACGCCTACAAGAGAAGGTTGGAGGGAGAAGGCTGCCTAGATGCCCAAAGTGCACCCCCCAAATGTATTTTATATATGTGCATGTACATATACACACACACACACACATAGTAAACGCATACATTACATACAGCATTCCACGCCAAGCAATACATAATACAAGTGTATTTGTATTCATAAAGAATAAGCAAATAAATGTTCCTAGATTATCCTAAAATCAGGGTTACTTTCTGAAAGTCCATAATTGTTATTTGGAAAGTGTTTTCTCTATCTGTGAGAAATATCAGATTCTCCAAGCAAGATACTTTGAAATGCCATTTTCGAATTAGGCAATATCAGAGATCATGGTCCCTCCTCTCATCGTGAATGGATCTGTCAGGGCTCCTGTTCCTGTGGCCCTGAATAAGGGAAGGAGGTATCACTAGGTTACAGACTTACCCACCTACTGACTTCGGGAGGCCAGCCCAAGTGTCACGAAGAGCGCACTTCCACTCTTTCTTTCACATCCTCGTGGACTGCTTGGGTATTTCCCCAAGTGCGTACACTACTGTGGCAATTGAAAGCGGCTCTATTTTTTAAGGTAAAGTGGGGGGCAAAACAGGCATGGTTTTCTTTTCTGGTGTTTCATTTCTTGTTCTAGGAAAGGTGAAATTTAAAACGTTTCGAGACCTTTTTTTTCCCCCCGTTTGCAGAGGCTGACGGACTCGTGTGGGCCCGGCGGAGGAGCCAGGACCGCGGGAAGCCCCCCACCCACCCCCCCGCCCCACACCCAGACCCTGGGTTCCCCGACGCCTCTGGGCCTCCTGCGCCTGCCCTCACCCCCCTCTGGAAAGGGCACCGAGGAGCAGCCGAGAAGCCTGCCTCTCGCCCGGGCGGCAGGGACAACTAAGCTATAAATCCTCCCCGACCGCCGGGGAGGTGGCGGCCCCCGGCCCCGCAGGCCGAGCCCGGCGGGGCGGCCGCGCATCGATCCCGCCGGCGAGCGCCCCGGGAGTGCCGCCTGCTGGCCGCGCCGTGCGCGCTGCGGGCGCGGGGTCGCCGGGGTCCCGAGGCCCGGCGGGGTCCGGGGCCGGCGGAGCGCGTCGGCGCGATCCCGCCCCCGGGCTGCGGCCTTGCCCTCTCCGCCAGCCCCCGGGCCGGCCGCTAGACGGGGCGGGGTGGACGGCGGGGCCCGGGCCCGCTGGAGGCCCCGCAGCCCCGTCGGAACCGCGCAGGCCCCGGCCCCCGCCTGCCGGCCCCGGCCTTCCCGCGCGCCGCCCCCCTCCTCGCCTGCCTCCGCCGGGCCAGGGCCGCGCCTCCCGCGGGGTCCTGGAGGCACGTCCGGAAGGCCGTGCGGGCTGAGCGCCGCCACCGCCGGGAAGGGGAGCCAACCGTGGGCGCACGGAACCTTCGGGAGGGCTCTCCGTGGGGCAGCAGAAAGCTCCCCGCGCGAACCGCACAGGCGCTGGGCTTCCCCCGCTCCGCCTGGCTGCCGGCCTGGCCCAGGGACCGCGAGCGGGAGACAAAGGGGGAGGGGAAGAAAGCGGAGGGGCGGGGGGGGGCAATGTGGATTTTATTTGTCTTCCGATGACCGTATTAATAAATTAAATGGGAGCGCCAGGGTGTGCGGGCGAGAGAATATTGCGCCGAGATAAACCTGGCCAGCCCCTGCCCCTGCGAGGCCGCCGTATACAATGCGGAGATGATGAATAGGACGGAGAGGGGATCGAAGCGGGTCTGGGCTGGCTCCACTCTCTCCTACAAAACTATAGGGCAATTAATTGTGGCTTGTCCCCTCATCCTTCATCTCCTGGTGGCACATATCGATGGAGATTACTGCTGATGGACCATTTTATCACCTTAAATAAACAGTCGCCACCTCTTCTAACCTCAGTCTAATATATGGCTCTATGTTCAGTTTCAGGGCGCTAGATAACGAATGATGTAAAATAGCTAAATCATGTATGTTACGGGATGGGGCTGGGCCTGCACACAAAAAGAGAGAAAAGAGAAAAAGAAAAATAGAACAACACAAAAGCCCACGCGCTGACTCCGAGCCTCCCTCCCACCGGGGACCAGGTCTGAAATCTAAGTCGCTGGCGGCTGACAGCGGGGACGCCGGGCGGGAGTGGCCGACGCGGTCCGTGCCTCGGTAGCAGGAAGACCCCACTGCGGGGTTGCTGGGCTCGGGGGCTCCCGAAGACCGGACCTGCGTCGCCCAACTGGGTGCGAAGAGATTAGGGAAGGTCAGAAAATACTCGCTCTCCTTTTAGCTCCCTCTTTAACCCCTCTGAACGAACCCCGCATTTCCTTCTCGCCCACAGCCCCTCCCCAGCCCTCGGAAAGGCTGGCGCCACCCAGCCGGAGAGCCTCGGCCCGACTCCTACACCGGAGCATCTGCCCGTGCTGTTCCCACCACTGTTCCCTGCGCAGCAGAGCTCCCCCGAGACGGGAAGTGGCAGAGACCTCCAGCTGGGGAAGCTGCGAAGCGTCTCGCTTCCGCGGAGACCCCGGGCGGACTTAGCTCCCAACCCCTTCCCAGATACGTAAAAGGAGCACCTTCCCTGAGAGGTCTGGAAAGGTGATCGCCCCCCAACACACCGCCAGGTATCGCGCCTACAAACACCAGGGGCGCCCTGTGGCTGCCTTTCGCTACCTTCCAAGAAGAGTGACAGGGTCTCAGGCAAGGCACCGGCTGCCAGAACCCCAGAACCCGGGGGGAGACCACAGCGAAGGCGCCTGACGTAATCAATGGCTTTAGGCAACCGGGCGGCAAATGCGTGCGGGCGGTAACACAGGACAGGGAAGGAAGCCCCCCCACCCCCATCCTCCTTTTCTGTTGCAAACCGCCCACCGGTGTTAGGGAGATGAAAGCAGGAGGCACAGCAGCCTGCAGAGGGTCCGTGGAAAGTGTCCTTCTTCCACCGTGGAATAAATTAACACACACAGATAAGAGCAATGTATTGGAAGAGTTCACCCGGAGAGCTTTATACCGCGTCTGCTGTTTTTAAGTCTTTGTGTGTGTGTTTTAAGGACCCTCCGCTATGCCTTCACTGTGGCCTTTGCCAAAGATGCCAATAAAGTTTCAAGGTGAAGCGAGTGTTAATGATTCACACGTGTTACTGGGTTGCGGCTTGCAGGCAAAGAGCGACTCTTCTAAAGGGAAGAGAAGTGAGGGGGTCCCTGTCTTTGCCTCCTGAGCAAAAGAGAAAATGACTCAACACCCTTTTAAATACAAAGTAATAAAGGGAAGCGATGCTGAGTGGTCATTTCACAGAATGCTCTTACAAGAGGATGGATGGCAGGAACCTGAAACTAGGAAAATGTGGGTGGGGGGTAGGGATAAAAATCACTGGGCGCTTTCCCTTCTGAGCAGCCTCTCACCCCACCCCACCCCCACCCCCACCTGCATACAACCTGGGAATGGGGAGCAGCTCTGGTTTTCACCACCTTGCAAACAGCAGACCAACTTCCCCCGCCAAGGGGGACCAACAGTTTCCCACCCTTTGCATTTCTGTTTGGTTTTGATCCCCTCGTTAGATTAAACCCAATCACTTCTCAGTCCATCTTTGCAAAACATGCACCCCAAGGTTTCAAACGAGTGTGCGCTCTTGCCCAGAGAAGTTTCTGCAAGAAAGGCAGGCCTGGCTGGCCAGCATTACACAAAGCTACCTCAACTTTCTATTTTCTTTCTCAAATGCCCTTTAATGAGGAAGCAATGTGAAGTGTAACTCTAACAGGGCAATCTGACTTTCTTTGCCTTCTGTGTTTTCCCTTGCACTTCCCACAGGGGAAGCAGTCCAGCTGACTCAAAAAGAGATACCAGAAGATAACACAATGGGAATAATTTAAATACATCATAATTCATTTCCTCCAGTCAGAGGAAAATGTTACCTGGATGATAAACTGGCTCAATAGCCATATATTAATTAGCAATCTATCCCAGTTCTTTCTCAGATCAATCTAGGTTTTTCTCTGGTGAAAATGCACTGAACCTCAAGATTGCATTGTGAACAATACAGGCACTCAGAGCACAGCCAGGGCTTTGGGGTGTGCTGCTGGCATCTTTGCCAACAATCATTTAATGCAGAAGAGAAAGTGCAAGTTTGATAAAGTACTCTCAGCCCACAGTGGCTGTATTTCACTTAGCAGTAAGAACTGTCTTTTCCAAAGCATTTCTTGTCTTTTCAGTTCACATTTTTAAAAGAACTGCTTTGAAAACAACACGTTCAAGAAATTCAGGAGGAAGAGAAGTATTTTTTTTGAAGCCCATTAGGACGATATCATTTTATAAAATGTTCTAAACTCTGGAATACAAACGTCTTCCTAACAGCAGGGCAAATTTGAGTTGAAACCCTCATTTTAAACTAGTACTTTACCCTCAAACTCTGGAGAGAAAAAAGTAAATACAACTGCTTTTTTTGGTTAGTAATAATTATCTCCATCAGAAAAATGATCCCCATCCCTTATGAAAAGACTGAACCACCGCCATCACTAGGCTCGTGGCTAGTGTTTTCTCATCAAAGTAGTGACACCGAGAGTCCTTTAACTAAAATTTGTAGTTATTTTGCTTTTACAACGAATTAAGAAGTTCATGGAGCGGTAGACATTCTACAAGAAGGGGCTTATTCAGAACAGAATGATTATACACGTTTATCATCAACTTTCCTCATGCAGAAACTAAACGAGGGAATGAGATGAAAGGAGCTAAGTGAGCGCTGATCTTTCAAATCCTCTACTGCTTTCAACTTGACTCTCTTAACCTTTAATACTCTCTCCAGAGATCTCTGGAAGTGTATCGAGCACTGACACCAATGCCTTAGGTGTAACAGTATCCTAACTTCTGATACGACCAAAAGGACTGGATACAGAGCAATACATATTCTTGGTCTTCATTTAGCGTTTTGTCTCAAGACCGCAAAACGGAGCTGTACTTGCGAGAAGCCTCTGAAAATCTGAATACAGGAATCGAAGCTAGCGGAAGGAGAACCGTGTAGCTTGAATTAGGCACTTACTTAATTTTTCAATTAGGCATTTGCCATTTACCCGGGAACAAGGAGCGTACACTGCTAATACAGAACTACTGTCAGAGTCATTAAAAAAAAAAAGGCAAATCAAGCGTGCCTACGGATTGCGAACAAACGTTTAAACGACCAAGGGTGCGCGGAGTACGCGGGATCCGCTGGGAATGACCCTACCCCGAAGTCGGAAACGTTTTCTCATTAAGCAGCTGGCAAGTTTTCTTCTCCTCCTTTTCTAAATAAATAGAAGACCTAAGAATACTGCCTGCCTGCAGGGAGAGACTGACCCAGTGTCATGCAAAATTCCTACTCGGGCGAGGCCCGGCCAGCCAGCAGCTCTCGGCGCGTCCCCTGCCCACCCCACGGGTGGAAAGTGAGCTGCTGTAGCTAACTCCCGAGGTGAGGGACAGGAGGAGTGCACGCTCCCCAGAAACGCTGAGGGTCCCTCCCGCGTCCCTCCGAGGCCGGGCCAAGCCCCCAGCGTGCGCTGCTGGCGCCCGCCGGGCCCCGGGCACAATCCCGCGGGAGGGCGGAGGTCTGTCCGCCGGGTCCTCGAGCCGCTGGGGTCTAAAGGCTTGCGAAGCAGGGGGGGGGGGTGGGGACGAGGTAATGGTAACCCTGAGGTGCCACCCGGCATCCCATCCGTTCTCTCTCCTTCTCTAACGTTGGAAAAATTTTGCCACGACGGTCTGGGAGGTGCGGGGCCGCGGCCTGGGGCAGCCCACCCCCTGGAGCCCGGCCGCGCGACCCCGTTCCCGGATGGGCGCCCGCGCTCGACGGCGCCAGCGGCCCTGGAGAGCGCGCGCGGGCTGCGGCTACGTACGGTTGTTGGGGTCGCTGGTGTGCTGGTTGAGCGGGATGATCTCCATGCGCTGCTGGCCGTACAGGTAATAGTCCAGCTCCTCCGCGCTGCAGCGGAAGCGCGGGCCGCCCCGCACGTCTCCGCCGCTGCCGCCGCACTTGGCGGGCCCCGGGCCCGAGGCGGCGCCCAGGCACAGGTCCTTGGCGGGCAGCGGCTCGGCGGCGACGGCGGCGGCGGCCAGAGGCGCGAACACCGGCAGCTGCGCCACGGGCAGGGCCGACAGACCCGCCAGCGCGGCGGCGGCGGCGGCGGCGCAAGAGGAGACAGAGGAGGCCGAGGTGGAGGAGGACGCCGGAGTGGAGGAGGCGGAGGAGAGCGAGGCGGGCCGCGGGCGCAAGGGGTCCGGAGGAGGCTCGGCGCGCTCCGGGGGCGGCGGCGGCGGCGGCGGCTGGAGAGGCTGCGGCGCGCCCAGGGGACCCGCGGCGCCGCCGCCCTTGAGCGGGCCGCCGCTGCCGCCGTGCGGGAAGAGTTGCTGCCAGTGCTGCAGATAGGCTGGGTCCACTTTGAGGAAGGCCGAGCCGCCGGGGTCTCCGGGCTTCAGCATGTCCGACCTCTCAAGCTGGGGGCAGAGGGCAGAGAGGAGAGGGCGCCTGAGCCGGGCCCGCGGGCCGGGGGCGAGAGGGGCGGGGAGGATGGCCGCCCAGACCCTGGGGCGAGAGCTGAGCCCGGGCTCCGCCGGCGGCAGCCCGGAGCCGCCGCTCCCCCTCTCCAACTCCGCTAGGGCGCAAAGTTTACTCTGAAGCCGCGGCGCGGCGCGCAGGGAGCTCCGTGCACCCCGCCTCGCACCGTGGAAGCCGGGCGCTCGGGCGCTCGCCCGCGGGACTCGGCGGCAGGACGCAGCCCCCGCCCGCGCCCGGAGCCGACCCGAGCCGGAGTGGCGCAGCCCGGGAGCCGCGCTGGCCTCCGGCGCCAGGAGGCGGGACAGTCTCGCCCCCCGCCCCCAGCCCGGGACCTCCAGCCTCCTGTCCCCGGGGCCCCAGACCCCGGCCCCAGACCAGCCGCGCCTTACCTGGAAATTCGGGGCCGCCGGCGGGTGCGTGCGTGCGTGTGTGTGTGTCGGTGCGCGTGCGGGAGAGTGTGCGTCCCGGGCGCACTACATGCCCCTGCGCCGCGGGAAAGGAAAGCCCTAGATGTGGTCGGGCCGCCGGAACCCTCCCGGGCGGCGGGCGAGCGGGCGGAGGCCCGCGGAGGCCCGCGGAGCGCGGCGGGGGAGCGCGGCCCGAGCGGGGCGCGGACCGGAGCCGCGCTGGGCTGCTGCGCTCGGCCGCCGCCGGGTCCCGGTTCCTCAGCTCCGCGCTCTGGCAGCCTCCCGGCTGGACACGTGGGTTTTACGACAGCACAAAATACAAGTGTGTGTGTGTGTGTGTGTGTGTGTGTGTGTGTGTGTGTGTGTGTGTGTGTGTGTGTGTGTGTGACAGAGAGAGACAGGGAGAGACAGAGACAGAGGGAGAGGGCAAGAGAGAGAGAGAGGTGGGAGTGGGGGAGGCGGGAGGCAGGCCAGAATAATCGAAGGGGAGGGGAGAGGGAAAGAGGGAAGTTCTGACTCGGCTGGATCCCCACGCCGCCCGTGCGCCTCGCCCGCACCGATAACTCCTCCACGCTCCCCCCCCCACCCGCCTGCTCGGTTTCTGGCGTGACGTCTCCCGCTCGCCTGTTGTCTCTTTCTGCCCATGATAAGTCTTTTCGAGGTGCCAGCTCCCTGCCCGGATCCCGAAAGCAGCGGAAAGCGGGATGCAAGTCCGCGGGCGCGCCCAGCCGGCGGGTGGACCAAGTCCCAGCACCCGGCTCGCGCTTTCGCCCGGCTCACTCTTCCCGGAGTGCTGCTGGGTGCCAGGGTCCACCGGCCCGCCGCGCAACTTCCCACAGAAATCCTGGCGGGGGGAGGCGGGGTGGGGCGGGTTGCGCGCTGCGCGCTGCAGTGAAACCCTGGGTCTGCAGCCCAGGAGGCAGGCTGCGGTGAGCCGGGAGGCGCGAGCCCGGGGTCCCTAAGGGCGGCTGGTCCCGGCCGCAGCGGAGTCTCCCGGGGCTCAGCCCTAAAGCCCGCTCACTCTCCAGAAGTCTCCCTGGGGGACTCGCTCCTTCTCCTTGTGGGCATCGGAGGCAAGTATCCCGAGCTCTGTCACACTGCCTTTCCAGCGCTCCGGGACCCGGCCAAGCTCCTTTGCCCTTGGCTGCTAGGGGCTGCCCCCGGGGTTGGGGGAGGGCGTCCAGTGGAAGGCTCGGGCCCCAAACCCGGCGTCGGAGGTGCGGGCTGGGAGCGCGGCCCCGCCTCCACCCTGACCCCTCCAGGTGCCCGGGCCGCGGCTGCCCTTCCCCGCGCGGTCTCGCGTCACCTCCAGGCGGGGGCAGGGCGCGGCCGGGGTGTGTGAAACTGGCGCTCGGGCGCTTTCCCGACGCCGGTGCTCTGTCCACACTCAGAGAAGAAATGACGTTTGCCTTTCCCCAAACAAGCCAACTTATTTAGCACCCGCCACTCTGAACAATTGATGGCCCTTCTTTCCTGATTTCTGCTTGTTTCTTTTTTGTCTTCCCACCATTTCGCCCGAGCCTGGGAACCGCGCTGTTTAGACTTCGTCCGAGTCTCACGCAGGATGCCTCGACGCTGGTTGGAACGGAGTTGGACCGAAAATGTTTTGACTGGCGTCGTTGTGACAAGGCCATCAGTCATTCTTGGACAGATTGATAATACCCAAGTTTAAGGCAAACGCCACGGGGGAAAACCCACGTGCGGTGGCCCCCGAGGCCAGCCGAGCAGTCTGCGGGGGCTTTGAACGACTCCACCGGGAGGAGACCAGGGAGTTCCAGGCCCGTCTCAATTAATTTGCTGGAGGAACTGCCAAAGGGGAGCTGTCGGGCCTCGGGAGAAGGGGCGAGCGCTCTTTCTCACACTCTCCTGGTTCACTGCTGGTTCCCCGGGAGAGACTGGGAGCCCCGGGGAAGGGAGCCCGGACGCCGCGGCAGCGGCCCCGCCGCCTTCTCGTTTGGGGCCAAGCTGGCTGCGCACGAGCGTTGGGTCCCCGGGACTGGCCGGCTCAGAGAACTCCTCCCCGGACCGCCCCCCAAACACACTTGAAAATCTCGAGATTTTAAGAGGCTGCTTGCATCAACTGCTCCCGAGGCCTCCTGGCGCCCGAACCCTGGGAAGCCCGGGGTTTGCCTTCCCCGTCAGATTAGCGGAGCGGTTGGTGAGAGCCGCGGATTGGCCCGGCGCGGCGCGGCGAGGCGCTTCCACTACGTTTATTCGGCCCCGCAGCCCTGCGGAGAAAGCGTTATCCTTAACCCCATCTTACAGATGGGGACACCGAGGCTCAGAAAGTAGGTTGCCGAAGGTCACGCGCTTACTGAGTGCTAGACACCGGGACAGTGAGGCGCCGCACGTGTTTTCCTGCCCGTCCTGGTCCAACCTCTGCCCTCACCTTCCAGACTGGCGCCAGAAGGGTGTAGGGGCGCCTCGAGGGAGATTTGGCTCCCCTTGCTGTGGGGGCCAGGGGAAGAAGCAGAGACTGCCGCGGAGCCTCCGTGTGCTGTGCCGGAGTGTGGGGTGCCTGGCTCCTCAGGTTCGAGCTCCTTGGTCCCCGCCGCCGCCAGGGGCCCCGGGCAGACGCAGATCTCCCGGCGACGGGCCCCTCGGGGTCCAGAGGCCTTAGAGAACTTCCGTGAGGGAGGTGGTTAAAAGTTAGGGCGCTCAGAAGGCCCCGGAGTCCGGGAGCGCAAGGCAAGGTGTGCGGGGGAGCGTGGCGAGAGTCCGAGCATTGCCCAGTGGGCCCACGACGGGTGGCGGGGCCCTGGTGGCACCCGGAGGTGGCAGGAAGGGCCGGGATGGGGCGGAGGGCCCCGGAGAGCGGCTCCCTCGCGGGCGCAGACCTCGGTAGGCGGGAATGCCCTCGGCCCTGGGGCGCTGGGTGCTGGTGGAGGCCGCCGCCCACCCACCCAGCCGGCTCACACCGCCCCCCCCCCCCCACACGCACACGTCTCCTCCCGGGGTTTTAGAAAGTGAGCCCACTGGCCGCCAGGACCTTCACCCTTCAAATGCGCTCCCCTCCTCTTCATTATTTAGAAGAAGGCCATGGAAACAAATCACTTGGACCACTTAGGAAACGATCAAACCTTTATAAAAATCCATGGCCCCCAAATCGATGCGTGAATATTTGCTGGGAATTTGTTCCAGAGGAATAAATAAGGAGCGTGAGTGTATTAAATGCAAACGGGGGGACACGGTGGTGTTTTTCTTCATTGATTAATGACCTCTAAAATAAAACAAGTGGGAAGAGGAGCCTGGATCAATAAATTAACTACCCAAATTCATCATTTTCTCGAGCAATTTTTTTCCCCTGAAAATTATCCTTGGAAGCCCGTTGTACCCTTAGCTGGGAGGGGAAGAAGGGAGCTGGAGGCCAGAGCCACGAGGGAGTGGCAAGAAGGGGCAGGAAAGCCAGGAGAGGATCTGGTCAGGGAGACCCTTTATCTGATTTCGTTTGACATACAATTTTAAAGTTTGCCTTTCATATTAATTATTTTTTTTTCCTGATGGAGGAGGGGAACAAATGGTCGGTTGCCTTTGACAGGACTCCAATAAAGGATTCAGCAGCTCTCCTGTCTACCCTCGGCGCTCCGGCTTCTAGGTTTAAGGTCATGGATGGCTGAGTTAATAATTCATTAATATAGACATTTATTCAGAAGGGTTCTCTGAGACTCGCTCTGCCACCTCCTTCCAGAGATTTATTTTCCTGGGAAATGGAGGGGGGGGCAGGTGTTGGGCTGCAGGTGAAAGGAGGGAAATGGAGAAAAAGGGAAATGAAGAGAGAGCTGGACACAGCTGGGAGGAATGTTTGTTTAGCCAGATTCATGGGCAGGTCGCTCCAGCCTGCTGACAAAAACTTGGTAGAAAATGTGGCATCCAAACACAGCCTGGGGACTCTGCCCCCCGCCCACGCGGTCCTTTTGCCTATGTGCACACTGGTTCACTCCCCCATATTCACAAATCCCCCATTTGTCCAGCTTTAAGATCTGGAAGAGTCATCTGAGGACTCTGGAATGCAGGCAAAGGGGGGAAATCTCTGGAAGGAGACTATCCTACCTACCCACCCCCACCACAAAGTTCCCAGAGGAGGAGCTTTGCAACTTGCCCCCATGTGGAATGGAATCAAAAGGAAGCTCCTTTGCAAAGGGCACAGGCAGCTTCTGGTGGACACTCTCCCCTCTGAAAGGCACAGTGGGGCATTCAAACAAAACCGAACCACCAAGTCCAGATCTGCATGAGGTCTACACTAAAAGTGGGGGTGGGGGGAGGGGGAGCAGGAGCAAAAATGAAATAATGAATGCGTGGTTGTCAGATGCTAATAAGAGCTGTGGAGAGCAATTAAGAAAGGGTAAGGGGATATCAGTGGAGTACTACTCAGCCATCAAAAAGTGAAATCTTGCTATTTGCAACAACGTGGATGGAACTAAAGGGTATTGCACTAAGCAAAATAAGTCAGAGAAAGACAATTATCATTGGATCTCACTCCTGTGGAAGTTAAGAAACAAAACAGGATCATAGGGAAGGAGAGGGAAAAAAAATGAAAAGACCAAATCAGAGAGGGACAAAAACCGTAAGAGACTCATAGGAAACAAACTGAAGGTCGCTGGTGGGGAGGGGGTAACTGGGTGATGGGCATTAACAAGGGCATGTGATGTCATGAACACTGGGTGCTATGTAAGACTGATGAATCATTGAACTCTACGCCTGAAACCAGTAATACATTATATTTTAATTAATTGAATTTAAATAAAAAAAATTTTAAAAGGACAAGGGGAAAGAATTTACAATGGGCAGTTAGCATTTGAAGTCCCATGGTGACTTGAAATACCGGAAGCCTCCTCTGTTGGTGACTTAGAGCCTCATCTAGTGACCTTCCTCCCACTGCACCCCCCCACCTCTGTTTCTTCAATGTTCAAATGAAAGGATGGGACTCCTGTGGCTTTCTGTCCTAAGGTTTTTATAAAGGAGCTACCAAATTCTGACCTTGCTCTTTCCCACCCATTTTCTACACCACCTCCAGGCAACTAAGATTTTACA